TTTTTTTTTTTTTTTTTTTTTGACAACTTAGTTTCTTTCTATGTAATCAAATGAGATTAATTAACTCTTTTTTAATAAGGAGCTTGATACAAAAATAAAATAAAATGTCATGAGAAAAATTGACCGAAAATTATCTATTAAGAGTTTAATAGGCATTAAAATGAAAGACAAAATAATAGCATATAATTTGTTAAATTTTAATTAATTTATTTCAACTAAAATTAAAGAGTTTAATTTCATTCCACCTAAAATATGAGAGGAGATTTATTTTTAAAAAGTTCAAAAGTTCATTATAATATTCAATAGACGTGAAAAGGTTTATTAGAAAAAATAGAAAGGTAAGTATACCATTTTCGCTATTTTTCTTTTTATTTTTTATATTTTTTGGATTTGGAAGAATAAGGATTCTGGTTGTGTAACCTGTGTTCGGGATTTGTATCATGCTGCAACTATGCCGGTTTTTAAGTTCTCCGATTTATAAAAAATGGACCCTAAGGTACGTGCCAAAAACCCAGTAATAAAGCCTAGTAGGAGCCCAAAGAATAAGCACTTTGTAGCTTGAATCCACTAGTCTCCCACTCCCACGTTACAAATCGGGCCCATCTATTTTGGTATAGGTATATGATCACTAATAAAATTATATTTAATTTGATTAATATTTATAATATTTTAAATAAATAATTATGATATATAAAATTATTAATTTATAAATTAATTTTAATTTATTAAAAATAATAATTATTTTATTAATTATTAATTATTCTTTACAATTAAATAAAAAATTAATATTTTTTTAACATAATTTTGGTAGCATTTGACCTTAACCACTCCCCATCTCCTCATTATGAGCTTTTCTACCATATGCATATTTTCCCTTGTACTGTTGGAGGGATTAAGCTGCAAGTGCAAAAGCTAATTCTGCATGTTTTTTCTACTTAACCAAACATTTCTTGATGTATATACTCTTAGTCTCTCACCCAAGTCCAACTAATTTTCGTTTTACACGAGTTTTGATCTAAGTATTAAATAAATCCCTCTTTTCTAGCCAATTAAAACCATGCATAGAGTAGAAATTAAAGACTTTCCTTTTTCTTTCGACCTCTCTAGGGTTTCTCTCGTGCACTGCTTCTAGGGTTGAGAGCAGTGGCGGCGGGTTTTCCTCCCTAGGATTTCTTTCTGACAAAGGAGTTCCTTCATCCCTTTTTTCTTTTTACCCCTCCCTTCCTCCTCTTGATCTCCTTCTTTGTCTTGTCATTGTCTTGCTTTGGAAACTCCAACCCAAGGGACCACAAGGCAACGACTTTTTAGGTTTTCTAGGGTTTACATCTATTGATTTTTGAAAGCTGCAATTGGAATTGATCTTGCCAATGAAGTGGATTTCTCCTATTTAATGGGTAAGAATCTCGCTTTGGTGCATCTCCTCGGATGGGATCTTGGCAAGGGTCGAATTCAACGAATCTAGTTCACACCAATTCTCAATCAACTAGCTGATTGCCACAGGAAAGAGATGTTGTTGGTAAGGCTAGCTATGGTCGGCGTGGGAAGCTTGATTTTCAAGCCGGCAAAGGGGCTCGTGTTCCCTTAATGAGTTTCGACAACATAGATTTGAAGAGGATCCACAAAGATGGGAACATGATTGGGAGTATACAGAGGTGACTGGGGGGCCTTGTGCATGTCAAGAGAAGGCCTATACCCTTCTTGGTTGTTCTTCTTTAAGAACAAGTAAGGCGGCAACTTGTGAGTTGGGGATTGTTTGTTGTCGAAATCCTTTGCTCTCCCCATGAAGTTGGTTAAATAGGCGAGGATGTCCAGTAGTTCTTAAAGCTCATAGTGACTCTCCTTTCTACATTAATAGCCATATTTAGCCTATAAAGTGATTGTAAATTCACTCTTTAGTTGTAGATGACTCTATTTACTCAATTGTTTATCTCCATCATAGACATAGTTTAAGTCTGTTACTAGTGCTGTAGGTTATGCTTCTCATTTTGGTTTTAGGTTATGCTTCTCATTTTGGCTATATGCCATAAGACGAAGATTCTATTGTAATTTCTTATTACTTAATATATTTCTCTATTTCCCATAAAATAAAATAAAAAAACCATCCATATAATACAATTTAGACATTAATCTTGAGGTTAATGATCCACCACGTGCGACGTCCTGACTTAGAGTTGAGTTTATAATTCATTGGTTCTTTCATATTTTCAAAAATGTAACTTGTAAGCATACTAAGATCTATAAGTTTTTTTTTTATTATTATTAATCTCTTAATATCTAAAAATTACATTAGATTTTGATTAATTTAGAATTGAGTCGCATCAGATCTTATAAGGAAAAAACTTTTTCAATACTTATTTCTTTATTTACAAAATTTAAATTCAAGATTTTATTTAAAAAAAATTAAGTTTTTTTTACTCAAATCAACTTAATGATGATAGACTACAAATTATTTAATTAAAGGAATTTTCTATTTTGAGGTTGGTTGAGATTTTGGCACATATAATAAGTTACATCGTACTGAAAGCTCACAAATACATCATATGTGGATGAACCTGACCCTTCGGCCCAACTGACTCTAGTCACACTTGTAAGGTTCATATCCCCTTTTCTCAGGGTAATGGTTCGAGCCGACCCCAAGACAAAATGTTAAAAAAAAAAAAATACATCATATGTGGACAAATTGTACGACCCTTGAAAACATGTTTGTGTACTTCACTTGATTATTATGTTAGTTCAAGTTTTATTATACACATTAAAGCAATTCAGTGCTTTTGCAAGTGTTTTAATTTAATTGTCTGATGTGCAAGTTGTAATGACCAAATTTGGCAACATCGAAACTTATGTTTAGGTTCATTGCTTTTAGTTTGTTGTTTTGATTCTTTAAAAAATTAATTAAAATTGTGTTTTACTTAAGAAAATGTGGGAATAGATATATAAATTTTACTTTTTTATTTAAAAATTTGAACTTTATCAATTTCTAATAAAGTAATAAAATTTTTATTTTTTATTTAAGGATGTTCATTTTATATATTTTTATTTAAAAACTACTTAGGTGGTAATGTTGATATGTCAAATAGCTTTTTTTTCTTGTTTGTTCTTATTTTTGTTCAAAAGTAAGATCAAATAGTTATCTAGATAAAATCTAACTAGAAAAGTTGAAAACATAAATTTTAAAATGTTAATAACAAGCCAACGACTTAAATAATTCAATAGTAATTTTCTTTCAATAAAAATAAAAAATAATGAATTTGAGTCATATAACATATATGTGAAGGGAGATAAGAGATGGTAGAGGATTATTTCACGTTATGCAACCAACATTAAAAAAAAAATGTTGATAGTATAAATGTTGACAAAAATATGAAAATATATGAAATATTGTAGAAACAATTTAGAGAGAACTCATTCCTTAAATTTCCGTAGACAGAATTAGATTTCCTTAAACAGGAAAAAAAAAAAAAGGAAAAGAAAAGAAAAGAAGACTCCGCGCAGATTGTTGAACAGAACTCAACTCTTGGAATGAGGAAGTAAAAAAATTCCTAGGAACTGTAGCACCTTTTATATTGTAATTGTGCCCTTACTTTCCAGTGCTTGAGGCTTCCCTTCAACTTCAACCTTGCATTGTTTATTCATCAAACCACATGCATTTCTCTAGTTTCTGCTGTCAGTGCCTATCTCCATGAGCCTACACCATAGAAACATGTAATAAAATCATAATAGATGTTCTTTCTCTATATGAAAAATAGAGTCCTTGTTTTACGAACATGAATTATTGGACAGGAGACTGTCTTCAATACCAAGCACTTGTCTAATAATTTAATTTGTATAGTTTAACATAGTTTAATTTAAATTATGTAATATTTTCTTAAATATATATTAAAAAAATATTATGTAGTTTAAATTATATCAGATTATATTATTAGATGGAGATAACTATATGCATCCTTAAAATACAAGTTAAACAAACAATTTATAAATTTTGCACCCCCTTAATTTATAAATGGTATTTTTGTCTTTGCAATGCCATACTAATGTTTTTAACTGCACGGTAGATTTAAAAAAAGAACAGTGCTATCGATATTATTTTAACTGAGATTATAAGATTATCAATTTTTTAAATAAATGTAATATGTAACTAAATAAATATAGGGAATAGTACTTTCTACCTTATATCTTAAAAATTATAAAAAATATTATTATAAAATTATGTTATTTTAATAAATATTTATTTAAAAAATAAAAATATTTTATTTTTAATGTTAAATTATTTAAATAATTGATAATTTTTTTATTATAAATATATTTTTTTAAAATTTTTTCAAAATCTTTATTTTCT